TTTCGGGTATTTGGCATTTCACTTTCTATGAAACCTTGACCTTGTCGATGCTCTTTTGCGACTCTCATGTTTATAACTTTTTTTTTTTTTTTTTTTTGCATATTTTTGGATTTATTGTTTGTTGAACAAAAAACAGAAAAAAGACAAATCCATGGTTTGACGCTTCATCGATTTAACAATTTGTTGTTATTGTTTGGTGAATTTAAGAAAATTATTATTATTATTATTTTCTTTTTTTTCTTTTGTTTGAACGCATTTTTTGGTTGTTTTTTTTTAAAAAAAAAAAACAAATGTTTTACAAGTTTAATTTTAGTAGAAAGATTTTGTCATAACAACCATAAATATTTAATCTTAGTTGGCGTTTGGTTCGTAAAATGTTGTTAGATGAAAAGGAATATGTCAAAAGATTTTGACTTTGAAGAAATTTGAATGAAAAGTTATTATATTTGACCACATGTTTGGTTGACATATATTGGAATGCAATATGGTGAAGAAATTGAAATCTGTCTATTTGGTTTTATAGAATGTAGTTTTGGAATTTGAATGAAATGCTGGTAAATGACCAAAATACTACTTTTTGAAAAATGAGATTTTTTTTAGATTCTAGCTTTTAACGCTTTATTATTATTTGTCATGGAAATTACTTGACCCATTTTTGAAATAAATTGATTAATCACTTTTAATATGTGTTAAAACCAGCATAAATGAGACTAAAAATTCAAAAAACCAACACAAAACAAACTCATATTTAAGCAAATTGCAAATAAATTAATTAGATGATAGTTGGATGTAATCGGATGGTTAACTGGATGTTGATTGGTTCAGTTCGGTTAGTTCTGGAATGTCGTCCAAAAACCGACCTGTCCAAATTGAATGTTGGAATTTTCAATACGATCCAATCCAATTACAATAGAATATCTAATTATAATCGATCAGTTCCTATTTTATCGGTTGACTTTTTTCACCCCCTTAGTTTATCCATATAAGAACTAACATTACACGTAGTAAAGGGGAAGGCTAATGCCACCGCCAAGATGTACCATTGGCACCACTAAGCCTAAATCTCATTATCTTTTTATTGTTTTTACTTTTTTTTTTTCCTATTTAATTATTAATTTTTTTTAGTTTATCAATTAATTCCTTTTTTTTCTTATTTAAATTATATTATGAATTATTAGTAAA